GCTGGTAGGAAAAGAAATCATACACCAAGGGGCTAAACTGAGTTTTTATTGTGTAATGTAATGTGTTACATGGTGGAGTTGTAGAACTTGTTATAAAAAGAGGAAGAAGTGTTATATTACGTTATTTTAAGTAACATTTTTTGGGTTGTATGGTAAGTTATGTGTTAGCCATCAAGTGGCGGTAAGATCAAAGGAAGTTATGAAATATTGTCGTATGAGATACTCAGAAGGTAAAGTGACTAACTCCATCAAATTTCTTTATTTATGAAGAGTTAAGCACTGTGTGCTTTGATAGTAAAATTGGAAGAGTATGAAAAAATGGAGTTAATTATTTTAACTGGTAAATGATTGACGGTCAAATTTTTTTAATTTGCATCTTTCATCTTCTGATTAATTTCTGTTACCATTTGTAAAGATGAGAGATCCAAGCTCAATTTATCTAAAATCGATCTATTTGCTCCAAGATTTCCCCGTATAGTTTGTTATTCGAATCGAACTGACTTCGTCAACGAAAATGAAGTTCTACGTGGAAGGATGTACAAGAAAGGGGATGCATCGCAAGAAACGAAATCCCAGTAGTTCGATGGGAGAGTAGGAAGTAGATACGCGCGAGCTTACTTATCAAAACGATACAATTACGACGCGGTGCTCGTCGGTTTTGCATAATGCATATCGAGCCACGGAGTAATGTTCAGTGCACGCACCGCGGTGGCACTAATTTCCTTGAATCCAACAGCGTCTTCTTGCCTTCGTTTTCTTCTTCTTCTGTGTACTCACCATCGGTGATTAGTGATGGGACCGATCGCTGAGTCAACCGCCGAACATCTTAATCTTCGTCTCACCTTCCACGCAGATCCAATTTTTCATATTCCATAACGTTTTCAAATCTTCACTCTCGACATTCCCAATTTTCCCTCATTTTTCTCGCGTTTCACACCAACATCCCAGGCATCTACGTGGATCCAGATACAGACGAATTCATACTGTGGCTGCTTCAATCTTCCCCAATTTCTCCATCCCGAAATTTCCATGCCTCTGTATCCCCATACATCTTCCTATTCCTCGAATATACGTCTCTGGTACAATTCCTTCACGTGTCTCTAGCTCGAATTCCTCCGGTAAGTTCCCACAACTCGTCAGCTTCACCTACAACAACAACCATCGTTACACGTCTATCCTGCGCTGCAACGAAATTTCTCATTGAAACACACGACTGTACCACTTCAATTACCTCGCGACGTTCCTCGTGTCATTTTAACCCTTTCGTTGCCAATCTCTTTGCAGCAATATCTTTCATTAATTAATGTTCCTACCGTTTTCTATATTTTTCTTTTGTTACATCGAGATTAGGTTTTAGATCTTGAACTTTGAACATAACCTTTTAGTAAACTTTCGAAGTTTAACGAGAAGTAAGGTTAGGTTTTATTGAATTAAGGTTAGGTTTCGTTAAATTGAGGTTAGGTTTTAAACTTGGAAAATAAAACTTAACCTTTTAGTAATCTTTCGAACCTTAACCTCGAAGTAAGGTTAAGTTTGATTAAACTAAAGTTAGGTTTTATTAAATTGAGGTTAAATTTCAAACCTTAAACTTTAAACATAACCTTTTAATAAACTTTCAAACTCTAACCTCAAAATTAAAATTCTATTAAACTAAGGATATTAGGATTAAGGTAAAAGTATTAAATTAAGGTTAGGTTTCAAACCTTCAACTTCAAACATAACCTTTCGATAAACTTTCGCACTCTAACCTCAAAATTAAAATTTCATTAAATTAAGGACATCGGAATGAAGGTGAAAGCATAAAATTAAGAAAGGGTTAAGAATGGAGTAACGTCCGTTTGAAGTGGTTGCGCGTGGGTATTGGTCCCATCACTATCGGTGATGATCGGCGAGCGCACGGCAGGCGGTCGGCTTCTTTCCCGCAGCTTCTTCCAGGGCGACTCTCGATCCATGTTTCATGAGGCTCCTCGTGCTCGAACTAGAGAGAGGGCCGGCCACGTACAGGCACTTACAAGCGGAGGGAGACAGCAGGCCGCTACTCTGAATCACGGGCACCTAGGCGATTCTTTGTGATCGATGCACTCGCGACACCACGGCGCCTCCCTTGTCTTTTTCTTCTCGCGATTATTATTGTCTTTATCCCTAGCATTCCCCCCTTCCCCCCTCCCTACAGGAGTGTAGGGAGAGAAGCTCGTTACAGGAGCTGCTGCACCACGGACCCCAGGTCCAATCGAAATTGCCCACCTTCATTTGCGTTGATATTATTGAGCTGTGGTCGGCAAGCGAGCGTGGAGCAACGGTCTTGTTAGCGATTAATCAATGCGAACGCTCCATTGTACCAGTCCCAAGGCTTATTGGGATGTGTTTTCTTCAGACCCCTCCCCTTAATGGGAATGTAGATTGTGATGGATCAAGCTTGTGATTACGTGTAACGTATCAGCACGCTTGTTATGTTGTTAAATTGCTCGGTTAATTGAGATAGTTTTAATACCGGGTTAAGGAGACCTGTTTTATATCGGTTACCTTGAAAGCACTGAAATATATCATCCACGCTATTTTACCGACCTATGCTATTACTAACACCCTGTTTTTATCGATAGGTCGATTTCCTTGTGTAAGAGGTAATAAAACGAATAATAAAATGTTGTTGTATCACACTTATCCTGCTGTTTTATTAATCGATGTGAGTTGCGTAGATCAGTAATTAAAAATTACAATAATTAAGTGCGTAGGAATTGTTTGTCAGTGTTTTCTATGCGTAGGTAAGAGTGGGAAATTTATGACGTATTGTTCGTAAATTGTCTATAGATAGAACCTTGTGTTATGAATTTTACGATATGTGCAGTATAATTCAGATGGTTAATCTGTCCGAAATTTATTTATTTATTTAACGTCTTTGTTAGGAGGGTACAGAAAAAAGAACACACAGAGTAAATTGACACATTTTATTGACACGTAAAAACAAGGTTAGGTTACACTTTTATTCAAATGCTTACACTGTTACAGTTTCTATAGTTTGTACAAAATTGATTTATTTATTTAACGTCTCTATTACATGTACAGAAAAAAGCGCATAGAGCAAAATGATACATGTTATTGACAGGTAAGGGAAAGGTTAGGTTAGGTTTGTCCAGAATAAATTAACACTACGCAAAAGTATCATAACGAACGAAGCTTGATTTTCTCTTAATTTTCCCCTTTCCTCGAGCCGACAAAGAGTTGAAATGAGTAGTCAGGCCAGTGGGTATCGGGTTAAAAGAAAAATTCGCACACGAAACGTGCGTGCACGGTTGCAGTGGTCGAGATGAATAATGTACAGGTGGAACATTTCGTCGGGGATGTCGTGCAGGCAGAATTCGTAGAAGAGGATCGTCCCGTACACACGTCTACTGCAAAATACAGGTGCGTTTGGGCAATATAATCCTGGGGATTTCAGGGAATCGTCGATGAATTCGACGAAGCCTCCTTTGCGGTAGACGAGAGAGGGTTGGCGTGACTTACGTTGGCCACGTGTCCGGACGCGTGTTTGCAAAACGACCACCAATCCGAGCTCGTTTGTCTCAGCCGATCGACCATCGATCTGCTTAAGTAACAGACCATAGATCTCTCGTTATCACCCACTGAGTTCTTGGTAACCGAATCACTCGCGGCGTAACGAAATTACGCCTTAAAGTTTTCTCGACAATCCGGTTGCGTGTAACACTTCTTCGTACTGAAAAATACACGATACTTCAGTGATAATATCGTTTATTTAAGATCTCGATTTTTACTTGTATTATCGATTATTAAGTAGGTAGGAAAATAATGCACAGCGTTACACAGATCGCGCCATTGTTAAAAATCCAATATGGCGCCTGTACTACGCAGTCAAAACAAATCAATTTATTTTACGAAATGTTTCTCATAAAAAAAATTAAACACTGTTTAAGTTTAGAAGAATGTCTTTATTTAATAAAAAAAAAAGGTGATACATTAATGAATATGTTTTTAAGTACACATTAATATTTATAAATTCTTACAACATACCATTGAAGCTGTGAACGAAAAAGGTCGGTATACAGTAGTATCGATGGCGCGAAATGAGAACGTAAAATTCGTCTGACAGGAAGTCGATGATGCGTTGTTAGAGTTTGGTACATTCTTCGATTCCCGATGCGGCGTTCCACGATGAGAGAAATTTAAACGAAACACGAAACGGGGTCAGGAACTGATGTTCGTGTAAACGTGGGGCTAGGACAGGCCAAGTGGAAACTCGCATTAATCCGTGGCTCGCTACTTGCCCAGCGTGCACCACGTTTTTTTTTCTCTGCCTGTATTTTTCTCCGTTGCTCTTCCACTATCCGTTTTTCGCTTCATTTCTCTCTCGAACGCGCTGCAACATCCTTCTATCCAGTGCTATGGCACGCAGCCAAGCAAACTAGTCCAGAGGCCTACCGATATGGCGGGAAATGTGTGTTTTTCGACGAATGATAAATTCGAGATAACTTCGATGGCAAATCTTTTTTGTTGCACCTTCCTTCCACCAGGTTTTTATTTTATATCGTAACTGTTACTTCTTATCGGTAGAATTTCACCTGCTATTTTACTTGGTTTCGTTGAATTTATCGTATATAGATTAGTATAATGTGATTGTTTGAATTTTTTCTCAACTCTTTTGTTTTACACTGTCGATTCAATTGCACGAGAAGCTAATGCGATAGAAATGTGGCGTCACCTAGTATACAGAGGGATGAAATCCTGCTGCTAAAATCGTTACCCTCTTTATCCTTATATTTAACAGTAAGATATCATAATGAATTAAAATTTAAATAGGAATGTAACAAGAATTTGTGCTTAAATGTTTTTTAAATGTGTGTGGTTCGTTCAACTTTTTAAAATTAATAATCTTTAAGAAATTAGGATAGTGAATTAAGGTATGGCGCGCATGACGTGATCGAGGCAGCACAATCGATTTCTGTGGCAGCTACGTCTGCCTGTTTTTCTAACCTCGAAGTAACGCATGAACGGTGCGTGTGCGAAAAAATCTACGGTATTAAAATTTAACATTGAAAAAAGGAAATGAGCGATGCCGAACTACAGGAGGAAGAAAGAGAAGTACTTCTTTCGATATACGATGGAGACTCAGCTTTTAAACAGTTGACACCTACTACTTTTCAGTATAAGGTTTGTCCTTCAAAAAAATGACAAAAATTTTCCGTCAGATATTCGTATTTTCTTCAATTCTAAAGTATTTATTAGGGTATAACTGTGAAATAAATTAATATCAATCGTGTGCAGATCGTGTTTATTCAAATTTCGTAAGATTTCAATTACAATCTATACATATGCATAACATTGATTTTATACACAGTTCGGAGAGGACAACGATATGAAATCGTTTCTTTTGGAGATCTCATGGGGCGCAACGTATCCATCAGAAAGGCCTACTATTAACATGAACACCTTTTACAACAAACACATGTAAGTCCAATTATATTGTTCTTCTGACTATTCTTGCATTCTGTTGCTTTCATTAAAGGTGAATGATTGGAATACAGTGTGCAAGAAGTGAAGGACAAAGTGGTCAAGCTTGTGGAAGCAGAGGCAGATCAATGGCTAGGAAGTGCTATGACATACACATTGTTTCAATCTGTCCAAGAACATTATACGGAATTGATCTCAGCACAACCAGACTCTGTTGTTGATTTAAACTCACAAACCAGTCAGCTTAAAATAACAGAAAGAAATAATCAGGTAAGAAATAATTGTATTAAATCGTATGTTTATTTGAGATACATGAAAGAGAATCAATTTCTTATGTAAAGTTGGAAGAAACAACAAAAAAACCAAAGAAGGAACATCTGACTAAAGCCCAGAAGCGTAGACAGTGGAATAAAGCTGATGGAAAAGGAGAAAGACCACGAGGATGGGACTGGGTGGATATAGTAAAACATTTATCACAGACTGGCCCTAAGCAAGAGCAAGAGTCATAGTTCAACTTCTTTGAAATATTTGTACAGGTTAAAGGCGTGTTATATTTTTATAAATTATTCGAAATAAACTGGTTTCCATATCGGTTTCACTATACTATAATCACCTGTGATAAAAATTTGTAAGAAAATATTTATAGGTAATTTTATCTCATTGCCAACAGATAATTTACAAGTTATGCAAATAAAATTACATAAATAATCAACAATTATAAAATTTTATCAAGGTAAATAATATCAAGGAAGGAGCAACAATATTTTAATGTTCAATGTTCATGCTTGGCTTTTACCATTTTATGATTCTTATAAAAATCTCCAACCTGCTACTGGTAATAAATTAGTTTCTGTCATCCATCCTAAAAACATTTACATGAATAAAACAAGTACAAATAAAAAAGTATATACAGAAATAGAGTTATTTACCTTTACTTTCAAGGCCACTAATAAATGCTTTGAATTCGCTAGAAATCAATACATTCGTAGCGTAAATGCTCTCTATGGTTTTTGACGATTGTACACCATTGTTTGTAGTAGAATATTTCTTCTTAAGTACATAAAGGCGCATCAAAGGATACGACATCTCGCTTACTTCGGGCTTTAAAAAGAGATCCTAAAAAAAACATCAACACTAGAAATGTAGAAGTAGGAGGTCATTCGTATGAGTTACTTACAAGTGGCACTTTCAAAGACATACAAATATACAAGCCGCAAAGACAAGCGTGTAAATATGCTTCCAGGACGTCATAGGGTTGCGCGTCTTTTTTAAGGCATATAAAAATAGTTTTGTTTTGTACATCAATAGAAATTAAATACTTCCTATCTAAGAAAAGTTTTAAGGATAGTTCCGTATCGCTTGTCGAAATTGTGTCATTTTTTATAAGAGCTGCGAGAGAGACACCAATTTTTATATTGAATCCGCATATATTCATTGCTGAAAAAAAGTAATAATGGTAATTTGCATTGATGTATTTCAAATAAAAAATAAATGACCTTACTGGGTTTTGTTAATAGTAACACCGACTCCTTTTTGTTGACTTCCTCAGGTTTGGGAATGACTTCGTTCGTAATGTAACTTTTCACTATTAAAGCTAAGCGGTCTTCATTTAAAGAATTTAAGCACAATGCTTTCACGGCCGAGTAATTTGCATACAGATGTACTATTACCAGGAAGAGATAGAGTTCCATTACGAATCTACATGCAGATTATACATACTATAGCTATATCAATAATACTGTTAACATGTTATTTGTTACATTAAATTCACTATTGCAAAGAGAAAAAAAAGGTAAATGCGTATAACTGGATATTTACCGGCCACTATGAAAAATCGAGAGTATTAAAATACCAAAAAAAGATGCTATTAAATTTACACATGTTTCCTGACTTCCATCTTTGACTAATATATCTGCTAAATTATTTTGTAATGCCTGTAATTCAAAGCAATATGCTGTAATGAAGAAAAATAATTTGCTTTCAGGTTCTGTATACCTGGTGCTGTGTAAGTGCTGCCCTTGTTGCTCCACCAGCTGCACCAACAATTGATTTCATTGCTGTTGAAATACACAATATACTAAGGGAATAGGAAGAAAAATAAGGTAAGAGTAATTCCAATCCCATTGCTAAATCATTAAGAATATCAGCAAAGAGTCTCCATTTTTTGCATTGTCCATCCAACTCTGCCCTGATGAATGAAGAAGAAATATTGCTTTCACAGAAACTGAGTAGAAGTGATATATTGATACATATGACTTTATTTACCCATTCCACCATGCAAATACAATCCGACCAATCATTCCAGTCCCATCTTTCAATATCCATGTTATTGCTGCTGCTAGCGGTGTTGCTGCAGCCTCACCTACACCTACCCCTTGCATAATGGAACGTGTTGTAAGAGTACCCATTATAGTACTTGCGAATGCCTGGAACAAAGGAAAAGCACAATACAGTTCTAACTCCATTTATGAACAATAGTTTCATTCATAATCTTGCAAATAACTTTTGCTATTTCCTATGTAAACTAACCTGAACTGTGTCCCATATTTGATAAGAAGTATAATCGGGGTGTACACTGTCGGGATATCCTTGAGGTAAAAATACCTCTTTCACAATCGATATAAAACCAGAATAAAAAGACTTCGTTCTAGTTGTGTCTGATAACAGTTCGGTTATCGATTGCTCGTCTACAGACCAGGTTGAACAGATAGGTTAGGTAAACTAACAGTGACGTTTGATGTGTCAGAATACTGTTACCTTTCGATTTGACGAAAAACTTGTTCCTCTCACTTCCGTAAGCTTCGGTGAACAGTAATCGCTCATGCATCTTGAAGTGCACCGAGATTACTTTGATTTGATTTGAATGCACCGTGTGACACATATGCACTTTTATTAACGATCATAGTCGCTGTTACATACACGCGCGATTACACCTGCACTATTGATGCGACGAAATTCCCTAATATTTTACTCAAAAAAATTTCGTAATCAAATATGATTTGTAAAGACTTCGGTAATGTTTAACAATGCAAGAAAAAGGCAGCAAAGATACAATTTGTTTTTTCAGCTGATCAATTTCACGTTTCAATTTAAGATTCTGTAAGATCAAATAATTACTTCTTTTAATTTTTCGAACACTTATCACCGATATATTCACTTTTAAAATTCTTTCGACTTGTCTACATTCGGGAATATCAAGGATGCGTCTTCGATTATTTCATTCAATTCAACTATGCAGGCGTCCAATCTCTTTTTTACATTTCTCGCGTCAAGCTTTACATTTTTATACAAATTAATTTTTTGCATTTTATCGTAAAAATCGGAAATTAAACGATTACCACGGGTCTCCGCACCACCACTCATTCGATTTATCGAGAATTTAAAATGTTGATCCCTCTCTTCTACATCCTTTGATAATTCCATTCCACATTGAGCTAGGTCATTTTTCGAAATATTATTTTCGTGTAACTTGTAAATTTCTGACTTTAACAATTTGTTGTGGGAATTGTGATTTTTCTCTGTCAACTTTCCTTCTTTTATACAAGGATCATTACTCTTCGGAGAAATATTCATTTTTTTATTTGATTTAAAAAAATCATGTTCCTTAATATATGATTCTGTCTTGAAACAACTTAAAAATTTTCGCTTCCTTTTGCGTTCCATCGTTGAAAATGCGTCACATTGAATTCCTTTCGAAATATTTTTCCCCTTTTTTAATTCGTACTCAAAAACAGGCGCATAATATATTGCTTGCAATCTTTCATTTGAAAAAACATGATTTGCATTCATTGCATGATTGGATATTCCCTTGTTAGTTTTATCATACCAAATTTTATTTGTGGAATTATTTTCAAAAAAATCTGCAAGAACCTTTGATTTTTCCGAAACTATAGATTTATCGAATTTTACATTACATCGAGAAGTGTTAGTTGCTCTTTCGCAGTGACGTGAAGACGCATATCTGCAAACACTGTCAGATTTCATAAACAATTTTTTTTCTCCGTTAATGCTGATATTTTTAAGATCACCGATTTCATTTCGTAATCCCAAGACTTTAACATTTAAAGCGGTTATGAGTTTCGCAATCTCACTAAGGTTTACTTCTTCATCTTGGACTCGGCAATAACAACGGTTTGGTGTTACTTGTTTCGCGCACGTTGACATTTTTATCGGTACTTTTACTTGACAACATGTTATATGTTCGAAATGAAGTGTTGATAATAATAAAGTGTTATGTTTTGTAAAGTGAAAAAAATAATTTTCCTACAGGGTTATATCGAACGTTCACATTATTTTTCTCGCCGAGGTTATAGGTTATGTCATGTGCCATGATCATGAAATGAATTCAGGTTTGTGCGTGGTTCGTCTGTTCTTATATTTAATTAAAACTGAAGGTTTTATAGTTTACCAACTCATAAATTTTTGAATTTGACAAATATGTCTTATATTGTGTAAGGCATAATATGTCCGAAACGTATGTGAAAGAAATTTTAGAGAAGCTCGAAGAAATCGAGAAACTTCACACGAAACTGCGCAGTTTAGTGCCCCGTGTAAAAAATTATGAAATGGAAAATAGTTTAAATACCGCAAAGAAACATTCGATAGGTATGGAGAATAAACAATTCGTTGAGAAAGAAACGAACGATAATAAAAAAGATTCATCGGGACAAAAACCTGTCGTCTCACATCGCGATTCATTGAGAAATGCATTCAAAGGTTCAAAAACAAGAATAAAAAAATTATTCGACACGAATACTGGGTCAATGAAATATTTTAAAAAATTTAGGGATCGATCTAGCAACAGGTTTAAAAGGCTTAGTACCAATTCGATAGATTTTATCACAAAACAGTGGCAGGATAAAAATGACAAAATCAGAGATTTTCTCTTAGGCATAAACAACGACGATATTGTACTAGGTAAAACAAACGCTCTGTACTGAAAGTAAATACACTCGATTCGACGTAACTTCCTGTCATAATTTTCAGTAAGTAGAGCATCTCAAACGATAGACGACGACATAGCAAACGTAATTTCGGAAAACCTATCAACAATGAAATTCCCTTCGAGAAAGAATCGATCATTTGAAAAGAGAAGAAGCACGTTGCGAGATATGACAGAATGGTTATTAGAGCATTTTGATTACTCTCGTGATTTTAGTCGAAAAAGAGAGAGTACAGTGTCGATACACGATTATGGATTAGAGAACATTGAGCCGCGTAAAGTGAGAAAAACTTCAATTATCCCAGACGAGAAAAGTGAGACGTTAAACATCATTTCATCCGCGAGAAAAGTCTCTGTAGATAATAACAGAAAACTGTCGTCGTCAGACAGTCGGTCATACAAATTACAGTAAACAGTTCTTTAATGATTTCTAAGAGACCGGTGCAATAATTTGTGATTAATAATATTTATAGATGTTTAATCGAAATAAAACAAATAAGTAGAAACATATATACGGTATAATAGGTAGGATATAAAAAAGAAAAATTAATATCGTAACATTTATCGCGTGTACAATTTTTTTGTTTCGTTCGAAATTTATCACGTTGCTGCACAATACTGCCATCTGAACCCGGCTTGAGAATAAACGTTGCCATGATGGTGGCTCGTACGATGGGAAGGAAATGTTTGAAAGAAACCTTAGAATGCGTGGGTCGGTCGATGGGGGCACCGGAAAGGCGGGTTCCACCGGAAGTCACGAAGACTCAAACGTAACATTACGATCACGAGTAAATCCTTCGATCGTGCTTTGTTTAATTCCCAATATCCCGATGAATGAAGCTCGTTTGCAGATGGAGGAATACTATTTTTAATATCGTCTGTCTACGACCGATTTTTATAGGTTAGTGTTTCCTTTTACGCTTAATATTTCCTTAATTTAATTCTCTGAAACCTTCCTGTGTACCTTTTTCTCTCTACATTCAATCATGCTGCTCTACATTTAAATCCAAAGGAAACAAATTTTGTTTAATCAAGAATGATTTATGACTGCTTTTCTTCCGTTCAAAAATTCAAGTCCCGTTGTCACTGCTGCGATGTTGCTTACGCACAATTGGCGGAAACGGTGCAATTTTTGCTACTATTTACACTTCGCCCGATTAAGATAAGAATCAAGCATGACTAATCAATTTCTATGACGATCAAGGCTATTGTGCCGCATTATATTTCGCGACTATTAGAGATTCCCGGTGAAAAACTATGCCCGTAACGCGATTTTCTACGGCGTAAAAAGTGGAACTCTGACTTGCATATACTGCCAGTTTTGTTCGCGGCGATGAACAATCAACGTCGGTAATGCGTTTAACGGTTTTTCTTCGGGAAAAAAGGCGTGTTTTGAGGCAAGTGTTAGGCCTTTCTACGCGACGCAAAACAAAATAAACTTTTCTCTATGATAAAAAGGGATCGTTTACGTGCTAGTAAATCTAACCTCAATTCGTGCTAATATGTTTATACATCCGACTATTTGTAAACACTCGCGGTACTCAATGAACTATTCTTACACGAGGCAGAATAATTGAACGGAAAGAAGGTCAACATTCTTAATTGTATATACTGCAAATTTTAATTTCATTCAGATACACGTTCTTTCCCTCGAGAAAAGATCTCGTCAATGACAACTTTTCAAACAAAATCGTTCAACGTCCACCGTGTATGCAGTTTGGAGCATCCGGTCGACACAAAGTGTGTGGTATCAGGGTATCAGGGGGTGCCAGAGAGATTCGTCGGTGAAAACAAAAAGCGGCCGATAAACAAACCGGCCGCACTTAAGCGAGCCGGGTAAAAGTGCGAATAAACGAGCGTACGGAGAGCAGTGTGCCGTCGCCGTTCCCCGTGTCCCCCTCCTAGTGCTCGATGCTCGTTTTCCAGTCAACGACTTCGTCGGATGGTGTTGCACTCGCGTGCACTCTTGCATGCTGGGGAAAATATGGCGTGCCGCATACACGCACGTGGGACGCAGAGGTGGGGCTGTGCCTCGCGAAGCTATTCCTGTACGCTGTGAAGTCGTATGCAAGTAGCATAACAACGCGGCTCTATTCAACGGTGTGTATGCGCGCGCATCTCGGACACACGAGCGAGATAGAGGTTTCTCGGCGGATTGATAACGCAACGACGACGATCACCAGCGTCCTGTGGAATTTCACGTTCCACTTTTTTCCTCTTACAGGACTTGAGACGCAGGTTTTAGAGCCGTTTACCAGTATATTCGCCACCGTTTTCATTGATCGTCGAAGGCTACGACGCGGCCTAAGGAGGGGAAGAAAAAGGATTTGTCGAGGCGCGTTCAACGTCATGTTAGTCGCTCGTTTCGTCGCTAATCACGCGTGGCGCGCGCTCGCCAATTCCACGAATTGCTATCCTCTCCTCGTTGACCGTTTATGGCGCGAATGGAAAACTAGAGAACATCGAGAATTTTCTTTCTTCAAATCACGACCGAGTAAACGTTTTACACACGCTATCCCGAGCCTATTTCCAAAGCTCCGAGAATTCCGCTAAATCGCCGTACAAATTGAACGTCGTAAATGCATTAAAGGTACCCGATGGAATGTCTCTAAACACCCGGCGTTAACCACCGGTCCGCGGATACGAGAATAACTACGCCTAAGTAGAAACGTCGATTCGAGAGACAGCGAACCACCTTTTTGCCCCCGTGGAAAATTAATTTCGCAGGGCACGCGACTCTCGCGAGTCACACGGCCGGACTATCGTCGTTCCACACGTCCCTCTCCTCCTACCGCGCAACTCGGTTCCACGGTTTTGTAATGCCTCTCTGTCTCTGGCACTTCCTGTGTTCCGCCACGTTCACCTGTCTACCGGCACCTGCCTTCATAACTATCTAAGCG